AATTTTTTCCGAATGGGCATGTCCCATCATATTATCTCTCCTCCATTCGAACTCTGAAATTTCACCGAGCCTTCATCTTAATCAGGTTGGATGCTTTACCCTCCACAATCCTGCGGAGGCCTTATAAAACATCCCTCTACATGCTGCGTATGCCCATATGGAGGTGGACCTGTGGAGTCCCTGAGCCACATGCTCCTCTGTTGTTCTGTTTAGAGGGAACCTTGGATGACAGTCATCTATCCCTTTCCAGTTCCTTGGCAGAGAGTAGGACGATTATTTGCTGCTGCTTCTATCTGACTAGGATTCTGATCTGTCTTCCCAGGTTGCCCAGTTCTGTGCCTATATTTGTTTTATTTGTTCTGCCCACAACTGAAGATTAGTGCTAATCTTGGTGATTGCCGCTAGTATTTATTATTTCTATTATATTAATAATGTTATTTTATTGCATTTTATGCCTATGTTTTACTCATATCTATATATTTTAGGTGTATCTGCTTCTGTGTAGTGTTTTCTGGCTTAAAGGCCATAATAAAACTTTGTGATTATAGGACTCTGCAACGCATTCAGAAAAGGTCCTTTGTTTGCCCTCCCACTCGTTGCAGAGGACTTCTTTCAAATGCTTTGCCAGACCTAGTATATAGCAAAATGTGATCACACACAGCAGATAGCAAGCTTAGAAGACACCACAGGGCCTCATGATCAATAAGCTGGGAATGCAGGGAGCAGGCTCTTATTTTAGTCTGGTCCAGCAAGAAATTATCTGCTAGGTAGAGCTGGGTCTGCTGATAAACTGCTTTTAACTAGCTGCACCAGTACTTACTCCTACTGTTACCCTAGTAGACACACAAATGGAACCCCTAATCAAAGTTGGGTTGAGTTGCCAAACACTCAAAAAGAAAAAAAGAATAGTCAAAGAACAGGACAGGTCAGGATTGCACTTGCTAGTTTACAGTATATATTACTGCAAATTTTAAAAAAATATATAATTTCAGTACATGTATACTATAACAGGGAATTTAATGAGTAATATGCATTTCAGTCTCCTACAGTGTTTCTCAACCTTGGCAACTTTAAGATGTATGGGCTTCAACTCCCTGGCTGGGGAATTCTAGGAGTTGAAGTCTACATATCTTGAAGTTGCCGAAATTGGAAAACGCTGTCCTAATAGGTGCTGTGGATGGGTACCTTCAGGACTCTGTCCTTCCTCATCATGACTCTTTGTTTTGAAACTGGGATGTTGAGTGGCATTCTTTTGCAGAGAACGTTGCATTCTTTAAAGCAGGACACACGGAAATGCTTCTGAACCAGGAACACGACTGCATTTCTGCAGTGTATTGGTCAGTTAGTCCTGATGCAAATGATGCAGCAGGATGATCTGCCCTCTACAAAAGCACATCTGGAAAGCTGGAACATAAAGTCTTCAAGAATGGAAATTGGTTCATCTGTAAACCCCTTCAAGCACATCAGTGAGCAAGCTCAACATTTTGGAAGTGGATGAAGACAGGGCCAAGCAAAAATTAAATGTAATGTAATTGACATGTAGATGTACTTGAAAATAAAACTTACTATTTAGTAGCCATATTAATTCCAGCTTATGGAAAGTTTTGAGGGCTGCATGAGGCCCTGGGACATCAAGTTGTTTACCCCTGTCTAAGAGCACCCAATTCTAATTTGGAAAACTCTGCCAAGGCTATTGGAAGTTTGCTGTAGGTCTCCTGCAAACTTTTTACATTTACATTTATGAATAAGAAAGTCTACAGGAAATTAAGATGGTACATCTAAGAGTTACATTTTTAAAAAAATCCCAGTATTGTCCAAGAGCTTTTAACACCCTGAAAATTTTTCACATTCCTTCTAATTAATTCCAGCCCTGATTAACACCTCATTATTAATCAACAGTGGAAGGAAAAATCATCCTCAGGACTTGACAGTTTGAGCAGTTTAGCCTGAATTTAGGGAAATGAATTTCCTGAATAGTTTCCATTAATTTTTAGCTTGATGTCTGTCTTTTCAGATTGCATGATTAATCAGTTGCATCTTACTGCATTATTTTTCTCTGTTCTCTTTGACCTCTAGCAAGGGATTACTTTCCATTAGTAATTAAAAATATTTGGAGAAAAGGGAAATTTGTTGGTGCTTTTTTTTAAAGCTGAGAAAAGCCGCTGTTTCTCCTGAAATGTCCTAATTTCTTCTTATGTATGCAAGAAAATGGGCTGAGAGTTCCCTTAGAAATGTACAGGATCTGTATTCGGGAACATCTGTATTTTCCTTTAAAAGCCAGTGGGCACCAGCCCTGTGTGAAGCCTGTCACAATAATACATGTGGGAATAGCTGTTCATTAATCTACATTAAATTTCTCATATTGAAAATGAAGATAATGCCACAATTGCATTGGCAAGTATAGTCAAGTTCTATTAAGGTTTTTCAAAAGGCTTTTCAGTAATACCTTATAATTGCTTATAAGCAGTGTTTCTTCTGTTTCCTCTTCTACTCTGTCAGGCAATTATTATGCTTTTTAATGAATTTATCCTACAGATCATAGCAAGGTAATAATTTAAACTTGGGGGGGGGAGGCACATTGAGTCAGACTTGAATTCTGACAGCTGCATGGACAGCTCCTTGCAGATTCCTAGGCAGCATTTGAAAAGTGATTTGCCATTGCCTAGGGCTAATGGAGAATGAATGGTCTTAAGGTTACCCAGCTGGCTTTTGTGCTTAAGGTAGGACTAGAACTCAGGTTTCCCTGCTCCTAAACTACCGCCTTAACCGCTAGACCCCAGCGGCCTTCACTGTAAACTGTAGCATTCACATATATCAGGGAAATCACTAATGCAGTGCCAGTCAGCTGAAGATCAGGTGATGCTATTGATAAAAGTACAGCTGATGGTTTATATGCACGCTAAAATATCCATAATGACTGTATTTGTAGGGCGCTGTCTACAAATATTTACAGAGGCTTCACAGTGTGCAACAGTACATACAAAGCACCATTCTTTGTATCATTAAAGCAGCCATGTATATTTCCAGGCTTCTGAGACTGCTTCATAAGTTATCCACAGCTATCTCTGCATCATCAGTTCCATTGATGTGTCTGGGGTGGGAGTTGCATACTGTATAGCAGCTATCTGGAATTCTTTAAAGCAACCAGGTCTCTTCCTAAGTTGTGAGAAAAATCAGCTGTAGAGGTTGCCATATGATCTTGGGAAAAGACACATAACACCAAAACATTTCTTTTGGAATTGAATCCAAAGGGTTACATAGCCATCTTGCTTCACTTTTTTCCCTAGCAGAGCAAAATAGGAACAGCATACAAAACAGCTGTGTGAGGTTTGCAAAAGGTGATGCTGCTTTATTGATTTGTCAGTGCTCCTGTATGTGGCAAATAACTTTTTTGAAGGATTTGTTCAGTCTTACCTGTCTGCGAGGTTTTGCATATTAGATTGCATGTATCCATAGTTTGTCTTCCACCTCAACATGGAACTGGGGAGGGATGTATCTTGGTAGATAGTAAATTGATGCAGCTTCCACATTGCAGAGAGATATCCATATGGATGGATGCCTGATGGACTTCTATAACTTATAACTCTAGGACTCATAAACACCTGCTTAAGGAGCAGGAAGACTTTTGCACAAATCCATTTTGTGCACCAGTTGTGCCCTTTCCTGGATTGGAAAGCTCTGCTCATTGGCACTCATGTTTTAGTCATTTCCTGATTGGGCTACTATAATGCACTCTATGTGGGGCTGCCACTGGTCCACAATGCAGTGACACACCCAGTTCTTAATGCACCATTGCTTCATGAGCAGCTGTGGCTCCCATTAGGTTTCTGGGTGTAATTCAAGATTTTGGTTATCACCTGTAAAGCCCTACATGGCACACAGTCAAGTTATTTGCAGGACTGCCTGTCTCTAATCTGCTTCTCCCACCAGATCAAGCAGGGTAAGCTACTCCAGGTCCCTTACATGAAACAATGTCATCTAAAAGGATCTAAGAGGTGTCCTTCATTATAGCATCTGGAACAACATCTCCCTGAGATTTGGATGGCCCCAACCCTCTTTGCCTTCCATAGAGCCTTGGACCTGGTTTTTCCTTCAGGCTTTGGGCAAGATGTTAGCTGAGTCCAGTGTGTGAGGCTGATTATTTTTTTCCCCCAGACATGTTATTAGGAATTTCAGTTGCACTGCATTGTATATGTGGGTTTGATTGTTTTTTGGAATTGTATCTAGATATTTAGCTTATTGTTTTTCCTTTCCTGGCATATTTTTTATGAATTGTTGGGCACCAGAGAGTTACTATGCTGAGATGGGTGACCATATAAATCATTTTAATAAAATTAATAAAAAAATGCCATCAAAAAAGGAATCTATTCATCTTATGTGAACAGAAGAGTTGGTAATCGCTCAGTCTACCTGCTACTCCATTCAGTTCTGACTGTAGTCGAGAGCAAAAAAACCCTTTATTCTTCAAAACAAAGTAGACAATAGGGCCACAGAGCAATTTAGATTCAAAGGGGAAAAGGTGATTTAGAGCATGTATGGCATTTGTGCTGGACCTGCCAGCATCAAAGAGGCCTTTTTCTGGTATAGCAGAGTGGCAGCCACATGGTGTAAAGGAGTACAGACAACCTTGAAGAAGGAATGCAATATTGCATCAATATCGTTTTAGCCCCGAAAGAGAGGAGGGGGTGAGGAAGAAACTCAAGATTGCCCTGCCTTGATTCTGTTTGGCATAAGAGGGGGACGAGAGAAACTTTGTCAGGCTTTTGAGATTCTGTTATACCCTGCAACAATAAGGTAAAGTTCCAGTAGTCCTTGTGGAGTCTGTTTCCTGGCCTAGGCCTCCTAAAAGGAACAGATACACAGGCTTCTTTAGCAAGTTGCTGAGTGATGCAGTAAGTGTGGCTACTTGTGCTTTGCATAGCCCTAGTAGACAGCTCCCATAAGTCTTCTGTACCGTAGCACAACTCCTCTTCCTCAGTTTTCTGTTTATTCTCTTCTAGATAAAACACGTGTGATTCTGCCTTCAAGAAAAATGTACACCGTGACTCTACCTCCTGAAGATTATGTTCCAGCCACTTCTAATGAAAACAATAAAGGACACTCTGAAAGTTGCGCTGAGGACAGTAATACTAGTGCTCTAGGTAAGACAAAATGCTTCATTCTTCTCTAAGTCTGTGCTTAAACGTGTAAGCTATAGGTAAATGAAGAGTTGTATCAGTTTACAGGCATGTACAACCATGTGTGAACTAAAGTGTCTGCTAAGATGTACAATCATATGAACAGAAAATCATTCTAAAATCAGTGTAGGAATCCAGATGAAAACATCCCAGACAGATGTTCGGCTCTGAGTAATTGTTTCGGCAATGAAATGTCTTTCATGATATGTTAACATTGTACATGCAGGAAGTTCATTATTGTGCTTTTATAGTAAAAAAGTAACAAGTAGTATGAGTCTGCAGACCACAATACATGTTTAACAGTGGGAGGCTGTGTTAGAAGCTACAGTTGTTCAAGCTTCTTGTGTGTTTCTAGAATTTCATTATTGTCAGGCACTCTATATCTATATAACTATATCTATATCTATATCCATATCCGTGTGTCATATTTCTAAATATCCAGATCAATTTCATTCTTGGTACGTAGAAAACTACATTTCTCAGGGACGGTTCAGTACAGAAAATGTATTCATAACGTCTGTTAATTTGAGTTGATTTTTATTTTCAGCATTCTTTGGTTACTGTTATCAGCTTAATTAAGCATTACTGAGCTTAAATTTGGTTGAGTTTTGATCTGGTGGAGGGGATGAAGCCACTGCTTATTTTGTTCTTCATACTACTGTAAATATTAACAAAGGGTGAATCTACACGCTACAAGCATTTCAAATATATCAAATGAGGTATCCTTAACTAAAGAATTGTTTGCATAAGAATGGAAAGAGTAGATTTTGGGGAAATCAAAACATTAAATAATTTGGATTCAGTATTAATTCCGTATATAGAATTTCAAATAGTATAACACATTCCTTTACATTTCATAATACAAATTAATGTGATATGTTTCCTATTTGCATTAAGAAGAGACTGATTAAACAGCAGAAAAAATTAAAAATATTATTTATGTTTTTCCCATTCTTAACAATCTATCTATATAGAAAGATAGGTGTTAACTTTATCAAAATGTCAAGTACTGTATTCCTTTAAGAAGCGCAGTATCAATGCAATAGGCATGTAAACTGTTAATTCTAGTGGAAGCTGAATATATTTTATGCATATGTAGCGGCTACCTTCCCCATTAAGGATTGCTTAGGGCAAATAAGTCTACATTAGTCTATCTCTTCCCATCGATTTTTATGAAGGAAACAGCTGGTTTGTGGAAGGTGAATGCCCCTCTGAACAGTAACTATGTGGTATTCAGTTCAGCCATGTCCTTTTGTGCAACATGAGACCTTGTGGGGAGGAGATTTCTCATGCTAGGAAGCCCCCCGTCATATCGTGATTGCCTCTGAGCAGGTACTCTTAAGAAAAATGCCAGATAGGTAAGTAAACAGACACCAGTGTCATGGCATGTATGTAACAATAAAGCTAAAACTGTAGGAAAATGTTGCAAGACTGGATATCGCGTATCCTTGCACCCATTTCGTTACCGTTTTACATGGACAGGTGTTTATAGTTCAGACAGAATGAAAGGGTTGATTGATGTCAGATTGCCTAACTGGAGGCCAAGAAGACAAGGAACATCAAGGGGAATTAATTCAGTATAGATTATTATCTGGCTGCACACTTTCTTAGGATTTTCAATTTTTTTCCAGTTTTATTATAGTGTTAGTCAGAAGGTTATAATTAAATTATAATTATGAGGAAAGTGTTTATTTCTTTAATCTTGGCATTAAATCTGTTTGGCCTGGCTTATAATTTGTATTTTATTGCTGTGTTGCTGTACTGCGACATGTATGGAGGGCACCATGTTGGAAAGGCTGCTTTAAAACATGTCATAGATAGTGAAAGAAATACTAGAAGGATGGTAAGAAACATTAGAATGACTTGTTTAATTTAAAGAAAAAATAGGATCCTCATTTTCACTAGCATCTTTTTAAAACATTTTAGTAAGTCCGCTGATGTTTTTGTCTCTGGGATTCAGTATCTGGGCAGTATTTAACTAATTGGCTATCTAATGCAGGTATCAATAATCAATCAGCAATAATTTAATAACTTCAAGCTGTTTAATTCTGGACTCTGGCAGTCCCAGTGTATTTTGACTATCTTTTCATTTAAACAGTTTTTTTTTTTTTTTTAGGATAAAGGCATACTGTCTGGTTTATGAAATAAGAAGTGAAAAATGTGACAAAGGAATTAGCATTAATCATGTTCGTATGTTGTTGTAGAGTCACAATCAAGGGGTTACTTATTTTGTATAATGTGTTAAAGTCTACTGATCTCGGTGATTAGTTATGACCAAAATAGTGTTCCGTTCTTAGATTAACGATACAGTGATTGCTAGGAGTATAAGCCAATAATGTTTCCTTGTTTTTTTTATCTTTTTTCTTTTTCTCCCTATGGTGACTTTGTTGTGTCCAATCCACTGC